TGGGTAATTCCGGCAAGGAACCCCGGGATCTAACGGTGTCGAGCCCGTGGCCGAAGGGATAAAAGGGGCTGACTGCAACATAACGAGATTTGAGAAAGATAGTAAAGAAGGATTACTCGATGTAACCGCTCGACGCCCAACAAGGGTTCTAGAGACGCATTGCCTTAACGCAACACGCTACTGTAAATGCGAAATTTGAACCTCTTTTCACAGAAAACTATTGTTTCCGAAAACTTCATATAAAGTAATTTCAAGCACATCCAGTAGAAAATGCAATAGTGTTTACAAATCGCTGGAAATGTGCATATTAAAGATGTGAGAGATCTTTCCAAAACATTACAATTGTGTGATATTTAAAAAATTAAGTTTACGTCATATTAAAGAATGTAATTAGCACAATTCCTTCGAAATGGCATTTGAGCATTTGTGAAAATGAGTTTTCGAGAAACGTAATATGACATTATTTAAAGAACATGTATTCATAAAATATAATAATGTGAACAAATTGCCGCTGTATATAATGTAAATAATAAAAGCGTGAGACACAAGTCAAAAAAATTATTTTTTTGTGTTTTTTTTAACAAACGAGTAGAGCAATATGACGTTTATGTTATCTTATACAGTTCATTTAATACTATCCTACAAAAAGTTTAAAGAAAAATTTGCAGCGGTTTTTGAGAAAATCTTGTTTTTGTAATTTTTTAAAATTGCATATATTGCACGCCATATTGCGCGAAAACTACTAAGATTTTCAAAAAATGTACCTGATCTTAATGAAAGAACTTACTATGAAGAATTAATTGCATTTGAAGGAAATATCTCTCTTCTATTTGGTATTTGTATGAGGACACTGAAACAAACCATACGTTTGAAATTTTCGAAAATTCAGAGTTAACCGTGAAAATTTGACCTATGCAATGTTTATAAGTGTATGTTACAGTATTCAAAAATTTAAAGAAAAAATTCGGAGCCGGTTTTGAGAAAATGTCCGGAGAGTTTCATGTAAAATATCCCTATATTTTGAAGAATGATTTTCAAAATCTCAAAGTTTCGACTCGAGCTCGTTGGTCGGGTTTCTTCAATTTGGAAAAAAGCATATGCATGGTTTTTGGCTCTAGTAGTGTTCACAGAAACCAGACGGCGTACGGACAGACAGACGTACTGACAGACAGAGGTTTTGAAACAAACCCTTTTTCGGTATCTGGGGACCCCAAATCGTGTTTTTTCGTTAAAATCTCGAAATCGATTTTTCACGGCATTACATAACTTTCCCCATACTACGTATGTTACTCCGTACATACGGACGTATTCGGGAAAGTAAAAATAGTAGGAAATTTGTGTTGTGCCTAATTGATGGGGTAATTTTCTTCGCTTGCCAGGAGTATTCTTTCAGAGGACACTTCGAAAATGAAAAGTCTCTTAGCAGAGGGAATTACATCGAAATTGCCTTATTGTTGGGAAAGTATGATGCAAAATCTAAAAACTCATTTTGAGAAAGTCGCCATTTAGACAGGGTTGTCAAAACATCTTCAGAATGGTTTGATAGAAGACAGAGCCATTGTTATGTTAAATGGAATAAAGAAATTACACCTTCTCCATTTTTTGCTGAAATTGTAGATTACACTAGTGAAAAATTCATCCATTCTCAATTATCAACTGTTTAAGTTATTTAATTCCCAATGGAGAAATTGTTGAACGTTTCCTATGATTTACTGTCACTTCAAATTGCATAGTCAGTGCTTTACAAAAACATGTTTTTCACACTTCATAAATAAAAATGTAATTCCGAATTAGTTACTCAGTATGCAGGTAAAATATGATGCAGTACTGTCTGGTAAAATAAATGGGCTTCAGGGACGAGTTAGAGACAGATGCCCCTATGCAGTATTTGTGCACTGCCCGGCGCACAGACTTAATTTAGGGCTTTCCGAGTCGACTCAAATAGTGTAAAACATTTTCATTACTCTTGGAATCTTTTCCTTATTTTTTAATGCTACAAAACATGTGGAGTCACTTGATTCACAAATAACAAGATTTTCCAAAGTGTAGCCTACAATGTGGAATAACAATTCATGGCTTGATGAGACAATCCTGGAGTACAGAGGTGATTTGATCAATTTGTTTTCAACTATTCTCGACAAGACAGAACTATATATATATATATATATATATATATATATATATATACACACACACTCACACATATTGAATACCTGGGTCCTGCTTCTAGACTAAGAAGTGTCAGCTGGTGGAGTATAATTTATTCAGTTCCTCCCATTCTAGTAGTCTATAAATATATTATAATATCTACTAATAACATTTTATTAACTCAGCACCATATTTGTAATTGACTCACTAAAACCTAAAAATAACTCTCTTTATGCTCAATTTCACAATACTTATTATTGTCTCTTCGTACTTATTTCCCTGTCACTACTAATTCATATTTTATTCACTTTAATCCCACATACTATAACTTCCTCCTTTACTCTCGTTCACTTCGAAAATAAATCTTTAGCACTCTAGTCGTCCCCACACTCTTTTAAGCATCATATTAAGATAGTATGAACAGTAAGAAAATATGTTTTACTTTCAAATTATAGTTACAAATTTGAAACTATAACTGAAATTTTTGCTCATTGCTATACATGGCCTTAAATGGTGGATGCAGAACGTGTCCTTCAGTGAGGACAGTTGACGCAGCAACAGCGCGGCTTGGACCCGTCGTTATTGCCACGATCGTATCCGTATGTACCAATGACTGCTGATCTTCACCTCGCATATTCTCGTTTAACTTTTAATTGGAGACTGATTTCAAGATTATATTATAAAATCCCAAATCCAGCATGGGCACTGAAGAGGGATGGGAGCCGGGGACTGTGGGGACAAGGCCGCAGCGAATTCAGTTCTCGAGCAATCCGAACGTTGTGTCATAGATGGATATATTTGCATAGCTGACTGGAGGAGCAGTGTTCTCAAAGCTTGATCTGGACTACGTCCGCTGGACATTCCGCTGCCGGTGGAGGAGGAAGCTCGAATCCTAATGATCACAACAGTCAAAGAGCTATTCATGGTCCACCGACTGCCATTTGGTGTATCGGCCACTTCTGGCCCCTCTTCTCACGCCGGATAGAAGGGTTGCCGACAGACGTGTCTTGGATAGCGGTGCTCTGAGATGACGTAGCGTTCGCCGGACAGGCAAGAGAAGGGCACGATAAACGCCGGAGGGAAGTGCTTGATAGGCTGGAGACAGAGGGTTAAAAAAACCAACAAGGCAACATCCACGCTGCATCGGTGGAGGTGCTGGGCTATTGGGTGGAATCCGACCCCTACAAGTAAAGTTAGACGTCACTGTTGATGCACCGGCTCTGTGTAACCGTGCAGAACTGCTGAGTCCCAATCGTCATCAATTTCTATGACGACCATCGAGCTTGTTGCAGGAGCGAAGTGGAAATTGGCAGATGGACATGATGCGGCCATACAAACTGTGAACATGCTGAGCAGTGAACCAGTGCTGGCTCACTATGAGGGCAACCGTCCGTTAATCCCCGCACGTGATGCTTCACCCCATAGCCAGCGATGGATGTAAAAACCCTATCGTGTCAAAGTCACAGACATTGTCTCAAAGAGATCGTAACTAAGCGCAGACAAGGAGGCTCTAGCCTTTGTGTTTTGTGCCTCTAAATTTCATAAATTTTCCTTGGACATCCTCGGGTGAAATGTGATAGGCTCCAAAACCTTGCTGGGTGTTTTCAAGCAGGGTTCCAAGACACCTGTTGCTCAGGACGTTACCACAAACAAAAAAAACTATATTTACGACACTTACATAAAACAGATATGCCCAGAACGATGTCACTTTCGACGGGAAAGTGATGGTTGACATGTTCTTGCGAGCACCCTACCTTTTCGTAGAGCATAAGTTTTAGTTGGTTGAGGTTCTGGCTGCGCATTTCTTTCACAAATTTGACGTAGATAACCACTTTTCTATCGACACATACTAGCACCTTTTCATTTCGATAATGATTCTATGCGGATATTAACCTTAACAGTGTTACTGGGGCGATATGATAATAAAATTAAATATATGGAAGATTTGGATCCTCCATTTCATTGAATACGAAGTGACATCGAAATGAATTCCTATGCTATTTGACTCCATATTTTTTTATTACCTGCGTTTGGCTAAATGGGAATATATTTACGCGGTTACATGGTGATAGGGGATGTTTGATTAGTGTACCAAATCACTGATCTAGTTTTTCACCTTCTAACATTTTCTGAAATCATTTTATTCAGTCATAATAAAACATTAAATCAAATAATATAAATTAATTAAAACGTTTTGCTGTATAAATTGTTACAATAAATGGAAATATTTCTTCATCAACGGTACACTGAATGTTATATCACAAAGATAATATTCAAAACCCATCTCTAGTAAATTCTCGACTCTAATTTTCTCAGTACCCATGCGTCTTCCACGATGGCATGTGAATGACTTGATGGAAATTTTCTCGCCTACACGCCCTTCCTTTACGTAACTAGCCAGGCTACAACAGCACATACTTTCCCAATATTTCTAAATTTGCAATTTTCGAAAATTCAGTGTTCAACGAAAATGAAACCTGGGCCAATTTTTAGCGACCCTTCTTTTACCCATGGAAAAATATAACAAAATATTTGAAGTGGCTTTTGAGAATTTGTTTTGTTATAAATTACTTTCATTTCAAGGGCAAATTATGCGAAAACTACTCGATTAAAAACAATTGTAAATGACATTTTCTTAGAGCTGAATTTTTTGGAGCATACTTGTTTTTTTATTGCCTCTATTTCACACTAAAGCTACTCATATTTTTAAAAATTGAATGTGACCTTTCAGGGTTCTTAACAAAACGATACCTGCATTATTCTCTTACGTGTCCTTTACATACTCCAAGAACACAACTAACAAAAAGAGTGAAATTTTTGAAATTTTATATCCCTAGGCAATAGTACTTATTCTAACATAGATGCAGTGACAACATACTGGTAGAATAATGTGAATTTGTCTTCACTGTAAAGTTTAAAATGTATCTGTACGTTCTATTCATCTTTCACAACCAGGTTTTAACATGTTTATTACATAAAAAAATAATATTTTCAAATTGTTTCTTTCTCCCTCATACATGAAACTTCTTGGTCTATTTTTCTATCATCAAAGATAGTTTCTACCCAGTAAAGAAGAAAACATAGTCATACAATCAAGTATGTAATATTCTTGGCCGCTTGCAATATTACAAGAAACAAAAAACATTGTTTGGAGTCCTGAGCATTGTATCCCTCCATTAATAACTTACCTCCCCGCACATTGTACATTTCCTAACAACTTGAACATGTAAGCAGTTTATGCTGAAATTTTACATACGTTTTACTCATCTCCCCCCTTTTTTTGTGGAAAATCTAAATATTTGGATTATTTACACACTTCGAATCCAATAACTATACTTTAATTATACCATCTATGAAAGGTTTTCATTTACAAAGTAAGTCTTTGTTCAGCATCAATTTAATGCTCTCACTTAGAATGTTTCATTTTAAGTAGCACACATGAGCTCTTCATCTTGAAATAAGTGAAATGTCACTCACATATAAAATATAGCACTTGTCAAGAAAAAAAAAATTTATTGCATTCTTTGGAAGGAAAATAAAAACAGATAATCTCTCTGACATAAGATATATACCTGTATCTTTAAAAATGTTCCCTTGAGCACAAGTTGCCTGCAATGTATTGCAAAATGTGGCTTCCTTTGCAAAAAGAAACAAACTCTTAACAAATAGTTAATACATTTTATCTCCCCCAATTGTGTATCCCCACAGCTGCAGGGGTTCAATTAGGTATTTGCAGAAGTGATTTCTGATAAGCCCTTAAGCAAAACTTTGAATATTGTCCACTACACCATAGAAAAAACAATCTCATCAGAAAGCACATTGCTAATAGATCCCATTAAACCTCAGCTGCACTTGTACTCCTAGATATTATTTCTTCTAATTTCATAAAATCAGGAACTGATACTTAGCACTACGTTCCTTTCCTTGAGGGCTAAAACTAAAAATACAAGAGGAATTCACTGAAATGACTACAAGTTTCAATTTAAAATACTATCGTGCATTTACTATACTTAGATCACAAAGACCTTTGAAAGGTTCATGTGCATTCAGCACTTAATGCTAGATTGCTTTCTTGGTGGTTAAACTAGAAATACAAAAGTAATTCATTGAAATGACTAAAGTTTAAATTTAAAATACACTGCTGTACTGTTTTTAAGATCATTTTAAAGTATATGTCCTTACAATTTTAGAAACTTCAAGAACATCCATATAAAATGCAAACATTATGAGAGTAAGATTCACAAACCATATAAATCTTAATAACCATACATCATGCAAGAAAGAGTAAAACAGAAATTACATCACACAAAGAATACTACCCTCGAAAAACACTTTTCAAATCTGAAAAATACCTGAGGAGCTACCTTTGCAAGAGTACTTGATAGTATGATAGCTGCAAAATGTGCACTGGATACCAAGAACTGTATTCCAAAATATACAATATCAATGCCAGACATGCAGCCAAGTACATAAATCATTATGTATATGATTTCATCATAAATTTTCACTGCATCTGTTATGCGAGTGAGCAATGTACTTTTAAATAAAACCCTAAAAGAATAGTTTTAGACAGACACTTGTATAACTGTAATGGGCCAAATGGGAAACACTTTAAGAATTTTTTTTAAATTTTCATTTAAACAAGATATAGAACATTTATAGAGGAAAAAATACAACTTTTGTAGCACAAGTAGTAGAATAATCCAAACATTACTTTTGTTGAGTAATATTTTCAAAAATTTCAGTTTTCAAAGCATACACTATCACAAAAAGCCAGGGAAAGACTATAAGAGGAGGAAAACATTGTCACAGTTTGTGCCATGTGTGGCAGTCAAATGTCAAATAGATAAATCTGTGGTGGCCAGCAAAAGGCAGTTAAGTCACTTGACATATACTTTACAGGAGTAGGGCAAAGAGTTTAAATTTTTATCTTTTGCAAGAACAGAGATAAACTGAATGAATGCTACAAATATATTAAAAGTATAAATATTTCACTTTTGTATATTTACTGAACTCTTTGTTCCAGGAAAATACATGACCAATATCTATACACCAGTGTCCATAACTCATTTCTTCACTTTTTTTTTTATTTTTTTCACTTCACTTATTCAACTCTCTTTCCCTGTCCACCATAGATATAATGAGCAAGTTCATCCTAATGTACCTAAGGTTGGTGCAATAAATTTAAAAAAATTATATCCAAAGCACCAAGTGATTGACACAGGGAGAAGATACAGGTGATACCAGGACTGTCCAACTAAATAACAGGTTAGCCATTATTGTCTGTTACAGAAGATTCAACACTAGAACGCCTGCACAGTTACATAAAATGCACAAAAATAGATTGCATCTCTTGAAGCACAGACTAATATTCTTCCCTTGAGAAAAAATTGAAAATAAATCAACTCATTCACTCAATAAATCTTTGTTTTCAAACTCATATCGCCAGTGAAATACCTGTCCATTTTTAAGTTTTTTAATCATAACCATACATATTTTCTATTCTTTTGTTTAGTGAAATAGTTGAAATTCTGGAGTTCAGGTGTACTAAATTACCATTTTCACCCTTTTTTAAGTAACTATCAGAACAGTGAAATCAGGAAAAAATCCATTTATGTTTTTTTGTTTTTATTTTGATCTTAACCTATTAATGGTGCAGACAGAATGGATTATGTGTGGACCATACAATATTTTCCTTGGACAATTTATGCACGAATTTCTCAGTTTCTTTACTGGTATGCTTTTTGCAATATAAAATTTTATTTTGTATGTTCTTAGGTTTGTTAGAGTTATCCAGTAAGTGATTTATCAACCTAGCAATACTGCTAAATTTTCTATTGGATTTTAAGTTATATTCAAATTTTGATAATTTCTAAATAGTTGCATCTAGAAAGAGGCTACTTTTCAACCAAATGTCGTTCTTCTTTAAAATAATATGAACACTCATCTATTTAATTTTTTTGATTTGTTTATAAAACTCAATCAATCCAATGTGCTCTATGTACCACTGAGCATTCCACAGATACGATAAAAAAATTTTGACATCAAATTATCATGATTATTATGGTTCAATAAAACACTATCTTAGAAAATTGGCAATTTTTATCCAGACTTTCAAGGGATAGTAGCTAATGGGTTAAAAATAATATTACATATTAAAGTGTGTTTTCAAAAATAACACAGGCGTTATTTCTGGTGAAGCAAAAGATATTGTTTATACACATTTAACCAAATCTTCAACTTCTTTGATCTCAAAACACCATTTTTGGTCTCAGCGAGTTTCACTTGTATAGGACAACATGTTTGCCAGGAAGTCTTGACTGAGTGATTTTGTTGTTTAATATTTGAATTTGCCCTGTACCCATTTTCTTATTAACAGTTATTTAGCATAGTTATCTTTCACTCATCCCAACACTTCTGGTTTTATGTTTCCAGTTTGTTCCTTACAATTTCAAGCAATAAAACGAATAGCGTTGTCATTCAAAAAAGTTGCACATTTTTAACAACTGGAAATGGCAAATTCAGTTTCTTTACAACGACATGTTTAACTTGCCACATGGCATTATTAATCCTCATATACATATGGTGTTGAATGGCAAGTTTGACATGTCATTGCAGAGACTTTTTGAAAATGATAAAGCTATCCCCTTGATTGCTTGATATTACAAGGAACAAACGGAAACATTAAACTAGAAATGTTCCAATGAGCAGAAATAAACTATAAATGCTTCATACTGTTCAAAGAAAATCGATACTGCTCCATATTCAATTACTAAACTTATCAAAATGACTAGTAAAACTGCCTTGCACAGTTCTTGATCAACAAAAGAAATAAAACAAAAGCTATGAGCTAGTGATTGTCAGAGGCACCCTAAGTGGTGGATAGAAAACCCCACAATGGCTATTTTGAAGGGAACCTCTAGGGGCAACCTACAACAACTTGTTAAAAAATGTTTAAATCATAAACTCAATCTTTGGCAAAAGTGTTGCAAGTATTGCAACATATAATTACTGATGTTATCAGCAAATACCAACCAGTTGTGGATAAAACACAATTATAAATAGCAAATATATATTTGCAAAGACTGCTACAAAAGCTGATGAAAAGAAAGAAGTTAGTAAGCACATCAAAGGATGGAGCGAAAGGTGAACATGTTGTACATCAGTTCTTCAATATGATGTAACCATCAAAACAACAACTCTAGGCGTTCTAATGTTAAAAAGTTACTAGTCATTCATCATGCACTCAACAATAAAATGCACTTTTCATTGTAAATATTATTATAATAAAATATGTACAAGTACGGGACTTCTAATACAACATTTAATAACAGGAATAAAATAGCACAACTCTTTATTTCACAATGCTGGACAGAACTGCGTTATTATCATACCATCTCCCTTCACAATATATTTATACTGTGTAGATCTCATTTCAATACTCTACGTTTCTTTCAAATACTGAACAATACTACGTTATTTTAGCAAAAATTTGTTAATGAAATGAGATGCGCTGCTATCCTACGCCATGAATGTGAAATATAATAATTTATAACTAATAAATAATTAAAAGCATTTGTAAAAATACATTATAATTTCATATTCAACAAGATGTATACAACACAGTATATACACTGCTGAGTTTCATTCCCTGGAACAAGACCAGAGAATGTTTTGAACTGAATACCAACACTTTGATTTCTGTTTAAAAGATCATGGTCTTGAACTCCTTCCTGCAAAAAATAAAGAGAGAAATATAGAAAGAAAAAATAAAGAAAATACTTCAATTCACAGATACATGCAACACAAATACAATTCAAGAGACAAAAAATTAATTAAAATTTGACTAGCTCCATTATTCTATCAAGAAATTCAACAATTGGTGATTAACTGTCAACTTAAAGAGATATGATAATGTGAAAATAGTGTCATACATAAATGGCTACATTCTTCCAAACTTCAGTAAAATTAAAGCAAAATCCACATTTAGCTGAAGGATATCTGATGTTAGAATATTAAAGCAAAATCCACATTTGGCTGAAGGATATCTGATGTTAGAATATCATGTAAATCACTTAAACAATATAAATAAATTATTTTGTATAAATTTTCCTAGTATTCGCCTATTTCATTCTTCACTTATTTCATTATTTAAGGGTATGATGAAAACAACTTTAAATTATGACTCTCCCTAGGAAGATGTCTGTTGTCATCATGCCACCATAAAAGCATCTCTTTGTGTAATTACAACTGAAAGAAATGAGGTAAACATTCTATGTAATTACTTTCTGGTAATTAGAAGTTCCGTCCTGAGGTTGCAATCCTCTTTACTATAGAGATGCAGTGCATCTAGTCTGCTTCTTATGTCCTTCCAATAGTCATTGCAGTACAAATTATTCTGATACGTCAGATCATCATGAAACACGACATCAAAAACTACTGAAATTAAAAAAACCAAAAGAAAGAAAGGAAAAAACTGGAAACTGTTGTCCATATGACATGTTATTAAGTATACACAAATAAGTTTGGTTCAGATACTAATATATTCACAAATATCTCCTAAGTAAACCAATTGACACAAAAAGCTTAATCACAATTCCCAATCTAAACCAAATTTTTTAAATTTTAGTATAGGGCTTCAGCAAGGAATTTCATCGTGTAATGGCAGTACTAACACAAATTCTTTACTACATATGAAGTTAAAATTCAACAAAATCAATCCAACTGAATATAGAAACTAGTGGTGCAAGTTTGAGATAATGGTTTTCACCATTCCTCTTGAGAGCGGGGGGGCCAATTTTGGGTTTTGCAAGTCGTTGTGTGACAGTTGTTTGATATTTAAAATATCATAAAATATATAAAAACTTTTTCCAAACACTCTTTTATTTATTTAATATAATCATACTTTGTTTTTAAACATAATTAATGTGACTAATTACATTTATATGCTAAAGTAAAGTTTTAATAAGATGAAAATTTAATCCCTGGAGGATTGAAGTGTTGCTGTAGTAAAGGTATTGAAACATACAGTCCAACAATGTTCATTGGATAAGTTGTAAAGTACTGCATTATTCTTGCTTAATATATTGTTGCATATTCACTTGTTGCACAACACTTTAATGTTACTCTCACCATTCAAAAATAATTTTGAAGTGACTTAAGTGTTGTACAATTTTGATTTACTGTGCTGTTACTTATGGCACACGCCAACAAACTGCCAATTATGAAGTTGATAACATTTTTATTTGTTGATGATGGATGGATTTATTGGTGAATGGATTTGAAGTACTTTCAAGCTTTCAAAGTGATCTAGTTTGCACACACTCTAGGGCTCACATAAATAAAATGACACATAAAAGTAAATTGTTTAACACCTTCAGGTTAGAAACTCAGCCCAACTCCCCCCCCCCCCAGGTCATAACATTTTCAGGTATATTTGAAGGTAATTCAAAGAAACAATCTTGTACTCTTATATGAAGTTCCAACATGTATGTTAACATTAATAATTTAAATTTTTTTAAATATAAATAACACAAAAAATTTACTCTCAAAAACAGTTTACCATGCTTATTATAAATAAATTCTTACACATTCTTATACTATTGGAATATTATACTAAACATTACATTAGTATCTATTGCAATAATGAAGAACACATTATTTTTTATTTAAAATAATTGGCTTTGGTGTGGTAATTCTGTACAGCACTCCTTAGGCATCAATGCAGAGGGCATGCTCATCAGTGTAGTCTAAACATTTTTATTACCAACTAAATGAGAGTAAATGAAATCTAGCTTAGAAATTAGGTACTTTATTTATGTTGGAAATTCCAATAATAGTCAGTAAATGAAAGAATTGTGTATTTAGAAAAACATACAGTATGTATCGCATGCCTGCAAATTCCTCGAGCATCATAATTTAAGGCGACTTGTTGGTGCCCATAGATTCTATAGACAGTGACCTGCATGAGTAAACTTTTGAAAAGCAATAATAAATATATGCTTGGAATACCTCATACAATACAACTATTCCAAATTACTGTTCTGTAAAAATTTGGGCATTATATTATGTAAAGACCTGCCTAGGAAGGAGTGATCTTGTTAACTTCATTGCTAAAAGAGCATGGAAGTTACTCCCATTTTGACATAACACTTAAAAAGGTCACTTCAAGAGTTGAATAGTGGCATACACATCATTAGGGTAATATATTTTTTCATCAAATTGAAGAACTAAAAGTAAATAAAATAAAATTTATAAAGGCAAATTCATAAATCAAAAAATCTCAGGGAAATCCAACTTTAACAAATACACAGAGACCCTCAGCATAGGTAGAAAAGTCAGGTTGTGATGTCTTTGATGGCATACAATAAGTCACCTGTGTGGATAGAAACAGATGGCAAAAAATGAAATATGAGATAAAATGAATAAGAGACCTGGATTGTCTCAACACAACACCACATCACACTACAATTTTCATTGTTCGGTTTGTTGTTCTTGTCAGTTGATCATTAATAATTCAAATGATGAAAATTGTAGTGTGATGTGGTGTTATGTCGAGATGATCCAGGTCTCATACTTTTTGAAATAACCAATTTCAAAAATTGCAAAAGCTCAAAATATTTTCAGCACCTTCCCACATCTACAATATTACAAATAGAAATTCCTTAATGAAATCTGTTGTACGAAGACAGATCTTGGACTAACATCAGGTACAATTATTCAAAAATTTGAGTATTTCGCGCATAATTTTACATAAAATACAGGTGGTTTTAAACAATTTTCTCAAAAATAGCTCAAAACTTTTTCTTCAAATTTTCTACTCATATAAAGATAAATAGTTCTAGTTCCATTTTTGTGAACTCTGTTTTCAAAAATTGCAAAAAGTTAACATTGCAAAAGTACAATATTGAAGATAAGGGTTTTGTCTAAATTGAATTTTTGAAACTAATTGTCTGAAAATTTATTATATAACAGCAGCTGAATCTGTTTATTCTCTCGTTGATCATCATGAGATACAATCAAAGAGCTGCCAGAAAAAACAAAAACCTATTTCTGAAAATAGGGTAGCAAAAATATTGATGCCAATTTCTTCAATGGCAAACAAACCGACAATATTTTCATTACAGATTAGAAAATTACTATACATATCAAAAGTCCTGGCTTTGAAATCAACCAAATCAATACCATGTAAATCTTTTTACAAAACCAATCTGACTCCTTTCATCAAATTTAAAAAAAAAAAAAAAATTCCATATTTATTCAATACTATTGGGATTGTCTACATTTTTAGCTATCTGACACAGTCCACAAAGTTGCATAACGTTATGATGATGGGTGCAAATATTTGGAGGTGATTGCATTTCAGAACACTTAGATGATTTATTTTTTCCATATAAAAAGTCACTTGAGGAATGTTTCTCTCTTGTAACTTGCAAAGCACAATCAGATTCATTTTCCTCTTACTCTGATTTCTTGTCACAATATGATGTCACAATGCACATCACTCCCCATTTCCAATTTCAAAAAATCAACTTCCTGAGAGAGCTGAACAATTTCATCATTTTGACTAGCCATCTAAAATACTACAAACAAATTCAAAAACATGTTAAAAGATTATCAATTTTATCCGAAAATAATACACAAAAACCCTCATTAACAAGAATTCCCAAGTAGTAAATAATCTGAGTTCATGTTATAAAAATTAGAAATATATTGACCAGAACCCAAATGATGTTTGAGTTACAGCAAAATTTGTGTTAAGCAAGGTTGTACTAATGAGGGTCTAATTGTATTAATGATAAATCAATCACTGTACCCAAGATTGACTTTCATAATATAACAAACTCAAGCAATTTCAGGGACCACTGACCTGCAGTCTCAGAAAATTGGGTAGATAAACAAAACTGACACACAAATGATGTGGCAACAGGGACATCATTCAGTAAGTGATGAGTTCCTCAAAAGGTAGGAGGAGGTAGAGTGAATGTTACACAACAAAGGAAAGCGAAAACAAAACTATTGTCAATAGACTCAGATCACACTGTATTACTCAACTCATTACCGGCCGGCCCTTGAAATAATGGAGATAAGTTGATGATTTTCTAGGACAGTATTTTTTAAATCCCATTAACGATTAATTAAACATACATACCTAGATGGTGTATTCACACACCACTAGCCGGGAGTTGGGTCCATAACTTGGTAAGGGAAGGGCAGGGACTAAGGCACACAGTAATCTTTAACATAGCTTCAAAAGAGGAAATACATTATTTAAAATATTCAAATATCTATTATTTATTAAACTACATAGACACAACTTTGAAAAATTTGAGTAGCACAGTCTGTATCGTAATTTATTTGCTGGCTGTGTCCCATAGTTAGCTACCTGTCTTAGAAACATATACAATCGTTTGTTGCATTGGGTTACAGTTATAACCTACAATATCCGTAAATATGCATGGTGTATTGTGACGCTGCAAAATCTCATAACCGAAACTTCCTTAATTTTGCATTACTTGAGTGAAAATAAACGACCTCAATAAGTAAATATGTCATATCCTAGGCTTAGTATGTTGTGACTTCATAATTATTCATTACAAAGAAGACAAAATACATAAATGGCACATACTACTTTCAGAAAAACATTACCATACTGGGCATCTTATCACGTTCATATCCTTTGAGAATTAATTATTTTATTGAAACAATTGACATTTGTGAGTTTATATATAATTTTTTAAGCATATGACGTAAATTGTAAACATTGATTAATTACATTTAATGCAAAAATACCTTTTTGTTCTCGCCATAGTTGCACTGTAACTTTAAGACGCTCATCAATTGTTTACTTTGTCTTGTTTTTAGAGAGAATGCCATGTAGACCAATAAAAATTCCAATATTTAAGGTTTACAAAACCTATGATTAAACTATGATTAATTACCCTGAAGCAATGGAAAATGTAAATAGTGGAAAATAAGTAGGAAAACTACTAAAGTGTATGGCATCAGCAGGTTTACTTTAAATGGCATGGTTGAGCGTGTTATGTCAAAATACAATATTGTTGCTGAGCTTCCCCGACCAAATATAAAAAGGAGAAAGCATTTTAGAACAATGTAAAACAGCTAATAAAACTTATTTCAGACTAAGTTCTCAAAGCAGTACTTATCCCAGTTTAGTGTATTTAAACGGTGAAACCCAAAGACTAATAATCATGAAATTAGTTCTGATGCATATTTATATTTCTGTTTCCTATCCAACTCTCATACAATTAAATATTGCCAAAGACTTGAAAATAAATAGAGGTGGCAATGTTTGACCCCTAAGGGATAACATTGCCACTTTGCTTGCTTTTAAAGAAATAATAAAATCTTTCAAATTATGAAAGCTGTGGCTTCAATATTTTGAAAAGAACATTGTACTTTAGTGAAAGAATGAACTGTCAAAACAATTATTTGAAGATTGATGCAACAAAGTAAAACTTTTAAAGAAAGAAAGAGGTGGCAATGTTACCCTCATTACCTTAACTCCCATGCTAAATTATTTCAGTTATGTTCAACGATTCCAGTGAGGCGCGGGGTGACCTGAGCAGAGAGCGTGGAATTTGCGTGTTACTTGAGCCAGCGTGCTTCAAGGGCATCTCCAGGAGAGAGTAACGATGTCGATGACTAAAAATTGAAGAAGTTTGTGACATCCTAGTGGTAGCATACGAGATCCTTGCGGTAGGGGCATGGCACAAGCGGCTGATCTTTTTACCGCACGTCGCGGCGGGGCGGGGCAAGGAGAGTCGGGGCAAGGCGAGCCGGGGCAAGGCGGGTCGGGGCAATGCTAGCGCCTAAATCGTTCAGCCGATTTTCTCCTAATTTATTCAATCGCTCTGAATGAACTCGTGGTATTGGGAGATTCAAACGCATATTTTGATTTTTAAGGGTACTTCACATAAGGCCACCAAAATATATCCAAAATTTTCTCAAAAACGGCTCCAATTTTTTTTATTAAATTTTGACGTTGACATTTGTCGTTCACATTTTGTCGTTGACATTTTGTCGCAGACGTTTAAGAGAATGGTGCAGATCATCTTTTCATTGACATCCCCAACCTTTTCGAAAATTGCAATAATAATAATAATGATAATAATAATAACAACAAATTAAACTACAAAATTGTAAATAGAGATGTTTGCCTCAAGCCTGTTGTATAACATTAGCTCTTTGAAAAGTACCATGTACAATTTTTTGAAAGAAGTAGTTTTTGTGTAATTTATTTGCCTGTCTCTTCTTGTGATTCCCATGAGGTGTCTCAGAAACCTCATGTGTGCCACCTCAAGTTTTTGTTTCCCTCTCTCTTTCATTACCCATATTTCAGAGCCGTACATGATTCTAGGTTTAGCAGTTATATTGTGGAGTTTCAGTCCCGTACACCGAAGCTGTCACCCCCAAATGGATTAAGGGCTAACAATAATCAATATATAAATAAAAGTGAATGTACGTATGTGTGTCGCATATAAACGCAAAAATTACTCAACTGATTTTGCTAGAATTTGTACACTTTGTTCTTATTACTAATGAGAGTGTTTAAAGAGTGGTTTGAATTAAATAGGGCATATGCAAGCATCATTGATGATGATTGATTCGTTTATGACTCAAGCGCCCCTGAACTCTACACAATCCACCGCACAGTCAAGAGATAAGAAAGATATCACTGCATACAAGTATTCTGCCCCTGTGGTTATGAAATATCGTCCAGAATTATTACTTGAATCTCAGACAAGTAAATTAAGTTTCTCCAAGATAGTGTTCTAGGAAACAAGTGCCCAAATTAAAGGGAAAATGTTTTAGCAATAGGATACTTAACAACCATGTCAAAGCCAAGACATAGAACAAACCAATACCAGCAAGAAAAGATTTCATCTATAAGAATTTTTGCAGTGTTGTGTGAAACGTGATTAATAATCACATGAGCAGTAGTATGTGATGCATAATACACTGCAATAGCGAAACATTGCTGGATCCACTAGTGGATAATAAATGACATCATGACTATGAATTGTCAAATAATTTAATATTGTTTTCCTGGGTTCCACTATTTTATTTTGGATGTAAAGGATTCCATGAATTTAAAAGTTTAAGAAATGCTGAAAATAAAAATTCTTACCAACAAATATTACTGAGCACCTCCAGCAGTCTCTGCAGTACCCCGCTTGCGCCTCTTATTGAGCAAAGGATTGTTGCTGTTATCCAACGCTTTGATGTGGACTTGGTCATAGTCTACACGCATGGTAGCTAAAGACCTCATCATTTCTTCCTGTACCTCTGGCCACAAATCTTCTCCTTCTCTTAAAACTCTTCCAGTATGAAGTGGTGTCTGTGGAACCTCTGTATATTGCTGAAAAGGAAAATTCAGATAATTTTAATTTATATTAAGGACACAATTTTTGAGAAATTAAAGAAAAGTCAAAACTTAAGAAAGAATTTTAATGAAAAACAAACTCATTAGTTCGTACAACTTTCAAATCGTAATCCTAACTATTGGTGCTGGATCAATTTCACCCAAAGGCATTTTCTCTTTTTATTTTCTGAAAACACAGTGAGCTAACGATAATACGGGCTCCAGGTAATCTCTTCTTATAACATTTCTATTCTGAGAATGCAATTAAAAATACCGTTGACATATGGGTTTCATTGAATTGCCCCTTCTCACCCAATGCCAGCATTAGTGTTCCTGTACATTTGAATGTGGTGGATGTGCCAACGTAGCACCTTAGCAATAACTCTGACTCAACTACTCATTTTAACTCAGTGGTGAATACTGCTTTAAGTGGGCAGAAAAACAAACGGCCGTTTTTGAAACATCATGTAACAACAAACTGGACATTCTTCTCGAATTCTCTCCAAGTAAACAAAGAGAGGTAAATTCAAGCCTCTCTAACTTTGACAAAGGAGGTGACAATGACAACTTATGTAACAGTCACATCATGATTTGTAGTTATTCCTTCCAATCTCAAGGACAAGAAGATCGATGAATGCAAAGACACTCTGTACAAGCAAGATATTTTAACTTTTTACAATTGTACGAAAGGTGGAGGGGACACTTGCGATCAGCGGTGTAGGCAGATGGCAGAGTACTGAATTACAGAGTAAGCAGAAGATCAAGGTGGTGTAAATTATCTGCATTCTTTATTATGTAAATGTGAAGATTAGTTTTATTGTGTTTTAAATGTGAAGAGAAGTTTTATTTTTACATCTATTTCTACATTATATATACTATTAAACACATATTCTTTCCAAAAACAACACAAAGGGTACAATTTTCTTGAATCAAAATGGTCAGGTCCATATGACCCGACATCTGTGTTATGTATTTCACGCCAATAGTTAAGGGTTAAGGAGGCTCCACACTTTCGACACCCAGGGAATCGCTAGTGACTGCTTGCCCAATTCCAAGTACCAAAGCATTTATTTGCTTTCTTTGATATCTCCAAAAGATCTGCAGTTAGAACAAGCACCAAATGCTTGGCACTCACAAGCAACCCATTCACACAACTTGGGATTCAGCAAGTAGTCTCTTGCTTCTTGTCGCATACTGACTATGTGGAGCAGAGTTTACAATTTATGAGCATATTCAATAGTCTATTCAAGCACATATGAACATTATTTGCATATCAATCCCTATTTGTGTATGATATTAGTATATTAACCCAGGATATATATTCATTATTTTCTAGCTATATAATTATTAACTCCAGAAATGCAAAACAAAATTTTATTGTGTAAAAAGCACTTACTGCAATCCATTTATTGCGAGTCACTTGGTCAATTGTCAGACGTTTAGTAGGGTCAATACACAACATTCCTCTAATTAAATCCTTGGCATCTTGGGATACATTTTGCCATTCTGGATTAGGGAAGTCATACTGACCAGTTCGAATTCTTTTCTTCATTCCTGGTGAAATAGCCAACCCATGATTACTATAGAATGGAGGGAATCCACATAACCTATGAAAGAGAAAAAACATTTTACAAATGAGAAAGCTCAATGTAAGGCTGCCAAATGAATGAAAAATAATTTTCTTAAATGTAAAATGAATTTCGAATTAAAATGATATACTCACAGAATATACATTATGACACCCAGTGACCAAATATCACAACTTTTGTCATATTTTTCTGGGCCTAGAACTTCTGGTGCTATAGAAAAGGAGAAAATCACAGAAAGTTTATCTTATTTTCCTTTCTCAAAAATTAGTTTACACAACTACACAATCCATTACATACCAACATAATATGGAGTGTAACATGGTGTTTGCAATGTATCTTTTGAAAAGGTTTCCTTTGCAAATCCAAAATCTGTAAGTTTTAAAATGCCTGTCTGATCTGTGAAAGAAAGAAATTTATTTAGTGGTTATATTTCTATTAAACAATAATTAAGAAATTGCATTTTCCATACAAACCAGGCTTAGTATAAAGTAGATTTTCAGGTTTTAAATCTCGATGAGCAATATTCATATCATGCAAATACTTCACAGCCAAGCAGATTTCACGCATTATTTCAGCAGCTTCTGCAAAATAAAGAATTTATGTAAAATGCTTCAATATCATTTTATTTCTATGCTATTGAATAATATTCATTTACATACCACGTTCAGTAAAAGCACCATCCTGGCGATCTTGTATTCTCTGGAACAATTCACCACCTTCCATACTGCAAATTAAAGCAAAAATGTAATTCTCTAATTTCAACAAACCAGAAAAAACTGGTGAGATATTAAATATACGGATATCCACAATTGAGTATAGTATATGTACTGTAGCATTATACATACATAAACATAGCATATGAACATAAGAAATCGTATGCATCTCTGGGACAAAGTTTGGGAACATCAAAGAAGTGATATAAATCCTCATACTTCCTCAAAATTTTAATACAAGCCACACTTTTTTTAACTGTTTTATTGAAAATAAAAGGTGCAAGCAATAGATTAAAATATGTTAAGTTATTTTGCATCTATCCACAACTTCAATATTATACACTGACAAATTTAGAAAACAGTTCGACATGAAAATAGTCACAAATACTATATTGATATATGTAACATTGAATTATCTACATCTGTATCACATACTACTTATTTTGTAACACTGATTGGCCTATGATGGTAACTGGCTACTTATCTATGTTGAGAAGTTCCAGCAAATCATGACATGTATAAGATAATAACATTATTCATTTGCGCATGGTATATATAACATACGTTTTCACTCTTTGAAAGGCCATAAGCTCTGGTCTGCTTTGCATGAAGCAAGTACGAGCACAACATTCTTGAATAAAGCTCAAACTTTTCGAGGCTTTTCGTAACATATTGTGAATATCACTGAAAAAATACTACCATTCTTCTGTACAATTATCTACACCTCAACTGAAAATAATTTGTCATCTATTTGTGGATGAATTTGTAGTAGAATGTCATTTTTTTGTTAGGCCAAACTCGATAACAATATATCATCAAATTACCAAAGTTGCAAAAGGTTAAACTGAGCAAATGTAGATTGTAGACCTTTCAGAGCTGCATCAATAATGGTTAAAATATTCTTCTGTATTAGACGACTTAAGAAACCATCTCTTCCTTTAAACCTGTCCTTTCTTGGCAATGAAAAGGGATTACTTTTACAATATAACCTCTTTGAGACAACCACTTGACAAATACCTTAAGACTTGTCTTTAACAGGAATGGTCTTCTTAAAGGGAATATCATACTACTAAAATAATAGATACTACTACTACTGCTGCTACATATGATAAATATATATATATATGGAATCACAAGTGACAATAGTTATTGCTTATCAGAGACACCTGAAATATTTTGGCTTACAACAGAACATGACAACTCAGGTTTCTTATTTTGTGCAAAGTTTTTTGATCTTAAAAAGAAACACAGCATTAATAATAAAAATTCATGGCCGTTGGCCAGGAAGGGGTAAAACAACATTGGCCTTATAGAATAATTCATCATAGAAAAAACTAGCGGTGAAAGTGGTTGTAATCAGAAAGAGGTGGTCTTGTTGAGAGATTTAGCAGTATTTTTTCCATCATTTTTCCTTTATTGAGAAGTTTCTGAACATTTTCTGAAACAATTTCAATTGCCTAAATTGGTCTGATACAGTTTGTCAATTTTAATATGACTTATTCTGAAACTCCAATATTCCAATTCATTTCTGCCCTAGTAAGATGCCCTAAGGATTGGGCGACTTTCCAAAAGTAGGATAAAAAAACCAACAATAAAACAAATTCCAAATTGAGAATATCATAATACTTAAGATGCTCTTCATATTAGCAAAAAAGACCAAATTTACATTAAATTAAATCTTTGATAACTAATTAATAACATACATTCTTATGCTTTTTATTCAAGTACAATTATTCTCAGTTCATTTCAAAAAGGTGTATCCACAATGCCCATTCCTGTTTTATTACTACAGGCATCAGTCCAACATTATCATAAGCTAACTGGGCTCACTGTCTTAATTATCCAGCTGTACTGATGAATCATGTGGACAATTAAATATAAAATTACCAAAATATTTTAAAACCACCAACATTAGGCAATCAAACATTGTTTTAACACTTATTATTTCATAATCAAAAAAAGTCTCTGTAGTTGAAAATTTTAGACAAAGTACTATCAAGAACTTAAGAAAATAAAAACCACACAAACACACAAGTAATATACTGAAACCTATTCTTTATAAATACCAAATTCCGCATGTCCCCCACAATTACTGTGAAAACTCAATTCTAGTAATGTTTATGATTTACAGAATGACAATAATTCCAGGTAGTCCAATAAGAAAGCACACAGCATTATGTGGAATTATGTTTTATTCAGGCAATTTCAGAATTCACAGTAGCCACTTAATTTTACACTGAGAAGTTAAAAAATAGTTTTAGCTCTTCTTTCCCTACATTTATTTCTTATTTATTTACTTATTTTATTCTTCAAATATTACTAAAATACTGAGCATAATGAATTTTTCATAACATGACTTTTCCACATTCTATGAATTGAAACACTCCAATTCCTCCCTGCAGCCCCTCAATGAACCTCCATTAACAATTTTGGAGTAATTGCTAGCACTGAACAAAGTTGCCATTATCTGAAAATCAATTCACCCTTACTGTGAACAAAATTAATAATAATTCTAAGCACTCTGATGGTTGAATGAAAATACAATTAAACTTATTACTTCAATTTCACACGTTTCAATTATTTTTAGTGGTTGTTATTAATTGATCTGAAAATATGTTAGCCTTTTCCACAATATGAAAAAAACAAATAAATAAATAATTTGGCATTACGGTACATCTGCACACATCAATTATTGAGATGCAACTGTAAATTAACCAATACCCATTAAACAATCCTCTCCTTTCTTCTAGCTTGCTTCCTTTCTATTTATATATACACAAGCACTTTCAGAAAGATAATACTTTTTTCTTCCAAGTCCAACCAAATGACAGTATTATTTCACTAAATTAAAGCTATAAACCTGTTAATTGCTTACTTACGTTTAAGTATCACAAATTATAACTTAAAATCATGACATATCAGCGTACATATACCAACCCATTAGAAAAATTATCATATTTTTAAATTTATTAATCACTAACATGAAATCTACAATAAGTATATTTAGAACCACAAAATTCCTTGGGAACTTACCATTCCATAACAACTAGAAGGCACTTGTTTCCACTATATGTGTTTTCATACACATCAATAATATTAACTATATGACGACAACCACTTGCTCTCCAATGAAGATCCACTTCTCGCCGAGCTTTTGTACAATCATGTAAAACCTGAAACAACAAATATTATATCAAATTAACATTCTAAAATATATTGGGACAATGACTTCAGGCTGCAATTCAAGTCCAATTTAGAACTTGTAAGAAGTATGAATATTTCTTTACTACCTTCACAATTATATACTTATAACATAACACAATTATATACCTATACTTTTAATAACAATTTAAAAAAATGTTCATTACAACATTGACAAAACAAAATCTTCACTTTACACATAGGGCGGGAGGGGGTGTGCAGCAACTGACTCCTGTATGTCTTTAGATTTTAATTGACTTTCTTACAGATTATACCATGAAGTAAACTTTATGTAAACTACTCCTTTTTTTTAAAAAAATGAATTCACCTAAAATTCCTTTCAAATCAATATTTCTCTTGTTCTACCATGCAATACTTTAGTATACAGCAGTCATTCACCTGACTGCACACAATTTAACACTGGTTAAGATCAACAATGATCAAGGGATTATGTTTATTAAATCTTCATAGGGTCATTGCTTTGAAAAAGAGGGAATCTGTAAGAAATTTTCAGAAAATTTTCAGAAAATTGTGATAGAATCACAAGTTTCTTCTTAATTAGAAATGAAAAACAACTTGTATTGTAAAAAAATAAAACTGAGTTTGTTTGTCTGATATTTTTTTAAATGCATTAATGGTTCCTACATTTTACAGAGTTACGAAAGAAATTTGTTAAAAACCTAAGATGGCTACTTTTTACTGTTTTCATATTAATGATAAACCTCATAATTAAAAACATGTAATTTCAATGTAACCAATTTTTAATTTCTCATTATTATTATTATTATTATTATTATTATTATTATTATTATTATTATTATTATTATTATTATATTATGAAATATTTTGTCATTTATCCTTTATAACACTAATAATAACACTAATTTCTCTTCGGTACTTCCTCATTTTACTTCCTGATGAAAATTCAGATAATTGTGTCACTGTAGTATTACAATTCATGACAAGATAACACCATTTCCGTTAACATTTAACATTGATAACAAGTGAAACATTATTGATTATCAAACTTCTTCAATGCACAACAAGAATTCGGAACATTGAAAAATTAGTGGTACCTCTTTAACCATAGTAATAATAAAATGTACTAATATTAACCTTAAAAAGCATGCATAAATCGTGCAACAGATAACTGTACATCAACCATAACTTTTACAATATAAAAATTGAAGTTACACAATATATTAACAAATCATGAGTCAAGCTTAAGAGAAAAATCTATAATTAAAACTACCCACATCTTGAAAGTAGAACATGCCTAAATGGTTTTCTCAAATTCATGTATCAATGTTTTACCTCATCAAAGGGAGCAACAACTTGTATGCCAAACTATTTGGCTAATTTGACAACAATTTATGAGCATCAAACAAGCAATTTACACTTAACTAAACAAGACACAATTTTGCAATTTCTTTATTTGCATAATGTTGAAGTTCTGGATCTTGTCGGCGATGACGAATAACACAACTTATGGCGATTGACGAAAAAGACTAAACAGAAAGTTGTCAAAATAATTCCAAGTTTCCGTAAACTTAACAACTTGTATTAGGTTAGGATTACGTCAACTTTATTGCTATACTCACCTTTAAGGCATATTTCTCCCTGCTTTTCTTATCATAACACTGGACCACTTTACCGTTTATTCCAAGTCCCAAAACTGTATTGGATATTTCATAATCGTCCGTAATTGGCGATGATTTAGGGGACCTGACAGACCTTACACCTACTTCGTTCATGATGGATAGACCTCACTCGTAAGACACACAAACCCTTTTGTTTATACAGCACAGCCGCATTAGCAGTCAGACTCTAAGAAACATGTTTCATTTCCATTCCTGTCCACATTAATTAAAATATCATTGTAGCACCCCCAAATCCTTCCTTGCTATCACAGGAAACCGCCATGCAAAGATGACTCATACTCAAAGATAGGTCGTGTGCTTGGGTGCATTAATACACCCGTTTGTCACAAATTCAAAATACCGTCTTGTCTTTCGGTCACCTAAAATGGTTGGGTTGATGTTAACATGTTCAAATCATGTTTAATAGTATTCTTTAGAATGATTCTATAATATATTTCAATGCCGTCATCAGTAGAGATCGTTGTCTTAATTTCAATTTTTTGTTGCTTACTTCTGAATTAACCTTTACGTAAGGTATTTATTTTAGTTACGGGAATAATGAGCATGTGTTATCATTTAGTAAGTGTCTAGTCACTCCAAGTACGTTTGTGATCAGTGAATAAGCTGATTACCGTCGCGAGCAAGGTAGCAATTGATGTTTAACTCAACTATATAATGAAATTTACTAATGACCAAGTAACATTTGTGGAATTACCATGGCCAAAAACCAAGAAATTTGATGACTTTATATTTTATTTTACACAATCGCTCCTCCCAACGAATACGAGTGTCGAATTTGAATAATCGTGTCCATATCTAGGTCGTATTTGATTTTTCATTTTCATTCATAAATTATTGAACTTGTTACATTCGACCTTGCCCATAACACTTCCACGAAATATTTTTCGCTTTCTTCTGAAGACAAGTGACAACAAGGACCACTGCTTTGAACCAGCTGAGCACGCCGAATTCAATTTGGTGGTTCTCTTATAATACTCTCTGGTTCGCACATTGAAAAAATGTGCTTGCTGGTGCTTGCTCTTTATATGGCTCGGAAGCAGCTCGTACCTCTTGTGATAACATATAGTTCACATTTTCGACAATCGCCGCGCCACGCCTCTTAATCGCATTTGAGTTGAGCATTCGTGGAAAAGGTCGTAATTAATAAAAGTAGCTTTGGCATTATTTCCATGTGAAGTGTGTGACAATATATTTTGAAATTATATCGTTATTCTATTAAATTAGATGACCTTAGAAAGAAGTTAAATACATATTGTAAGATGAACATTGAGACACGTCTGTGTTACCAAGGATTTACGCGCTTTTAGCGCTGACGTAGGACGTTCGGTGAACTACCATTACGTGGCGCAAAGAAGCAAATATTTAAGAGCATATTTAATACAGTAACGACATATTTAATACAGTAACGACATATTTAATACAGTAACTTTTGTTAGTGCAAATGTTTTCTCATTCCTTAATCCGTGATGTTTTATAATGATATTTACTCTGTATACCAAGACCCAATATCAGACCACGTACTAATATGAACAAAACAAAATATGTACCCAGCAAATAGGATCCCACTCTCTTGGGCGCTCCTGCTGCACTAACTATATATTAATACATAATTAAAAATTGTATTCCTATGATTTCGTAAAGAAAAGCCTCCAATATGATCAAACTCTCGGCCCTTTATATTATAAAACTAATCCTGTCAAAATCGTATTCACTGGCCTAATAACAAATGCGGTGTTTATCAAATCCACACATGTCAACCTCAAACGTTTTGTGAGAATTCGCGAAAAAAATGTTTCTAAATAACCCGTTATTGAAATTTCATTCTGAGTAATAATATGGGTTCATTTGGCTATATTAACCTATTTAATATGCTGATCTAACAAGGTAAATAACCTTGTAATTACGATGTTCTTTTTTTCTGCATTTACTGCATTTCTAAGCAGTAGTGTTACTACAGAAATTGAGAAAGATTTTGCTGATGGCCAGCCCTTTTTCTCAAGACGTTTTTTTATGTTTCAAAGTCACTTTCAAATCTAAAATATGTTGCTTTAACTTTTGAAAATGCCATTTCATGATTACAATTGTTGGTTCTATTTTCTTTCTTAACGTATATTCCCATTTTCTCAGAGATCATCTTAACGTTTTTAAAATGTCGGGATAAACTTTCGGCATTAATCAGTGACCAATTTTCACCTAGCTTACGTACTTCACCAAGAGACTGGTACAAACCATAGTACTCTTCTTTCGTTAATATGGTGGGGCGTTTTCCGAACAACTTCTCCACTCTACCAAAAACTCTAGCAGCTGGAAGTAGCTATGCCATCGAACTGGATAAGTAATCACTATCTCTTCAATGTTGGTTCTCACCACTCTCAAATAATACATTAATGTATGGGTAAATATATTGTTCTTATTCTGTCCGCCGCATCCATCACAAAACAGATTCATTCTTAAGATTGTAGTACACTCCATGGATTGCAATAAATATAGCAGCGCTACAATCACATTTTGCACCCCTGCTTGCTAGTTTTAGAGTCCAGGTGTAAAAGACAAGTTTATTTGCATTAGCACCAATAACGCAAAGAGAGTAAAATTTCACTTGCCGTTTGGAAAACGCCTCTTGGATGGGTGTTTTAGGGAGGGGTTGCGCTTACTAAAGATCGAAGTAGAACCTAATCTCATTTTCTTTGTTTTCCCTTAAAATATCATAAAAATATTGAGCCATTTTCTTATGGACTCTTTTTCCATCATAATATTCCGGTATAAGTTGCAAATCTTTATCACATTTAGCCATCTCATCCTTCAGCTATGTATCCATTTTAGAGAAGGTGTTGCATACATCAGAAGCCGGGGATTTGAATCCTACGTTAAACTCAATGAAAACTCTACTACATATTGTTTTTGAAACATTAAGGTCATTACCCACAGAGCCATTGTATAGCCTATACCCCACAACTAAATTTATGTATAAATCTGAGTGCATATAAATCCTCTTGGATTTCGTTCTGTTGTAATGTCATTTTTGTCTCATAAATTACTTATAAAAACGCACCGATTCTTTCTTAGTAGCAGACTCTTCCTATTATCCTTCACAACATTTCTGGACTTTTTGCAATATTGTTCAACCTTGTTCCTTATAGCGGTGTCATATAAAAAAAATTTACACCCATTTTTGCATGTTGTTGAAATCATAAAATACGCTACAATAACATTTTTAGCTTTTGTTGTTTCTGATATGTTCGACGAGCTCTTTGTATTTTTACGTTAATGTTACATTGACTAACCCAGCTGGCAATAATAAAGTCTTGTATATTTTTATTTATATTTATTTATATTATTATATAGAATATCGCAAACATTTAAAGCATCTCTAGGACGTACTAAGGCACATCTATATGGTATATATCTATATTGTAATGGGACGGTCGCACGCGTCAGGTGGCGACGCGTATTTCGCAAAATTACATTTAGCATAACACCGCTGAGAATGACATCAGGAAACGCGCAGTTTGCCTGTACCTGCGTGCTTTTTCGGGACGCCTGTAACGCAGTGGGAACCATCCCTTTCGTTTCAGCGCAACCCACGTCAAGCCACATCCTGTGACTCACGGGAAAGTACGAATGCCGCCCTCACCTAGCGACGCACCGCCGTCGAAGCCCTTTTCTCGTAACTCGGATGACGTTCGGGTTTCGCAGAATTTGGCAAGGCGCGGGCGTTCGCAAACGACGCCGCGATAGGACGGAAGAAACCGCGTGACACGCGCCCGCCAATCGCAGGAAATGAAGCAGGGGAGGGTCACGTGACTAAAGACGCTAGCTGGTTCATTCTGCTCTCTGCATTCAGCGTTCAACATTCTGTTTATGGGCATTTAACTTTCCACATTGGCATTCTACTTCAACTCACGGGGGGACGCCAGCGAATGCACTGCCGCCGCGCCGCCGCCCGAATGCCTTGCCCCATCGCCACATCTCACACCGACTCGGGGCGCTGTTTTTGAACAATCGCAGTGCCCGAACAATCGCAGTTTACTTCAAACGCAAGTATAAAGTATAGTATCGAGATCACTGGAGGAGTCAAGCCTCCTGACGATAACTATTGCTTTATTATAGTGTCCTAATGGCATGATAACCAGAATCTTCATTGCAGTTCGTAAAAGCTTGAAGTGTTTGTTTGGAATGGAGTCTAAAAGCAAGTACAACATCCATTACAATTCTGTCGTTCGAATATGTTAAGGCTCTGAGTACACGGGTTATTATGTGTACTGTAATGGAACGGTCGCATGCGTCAGATTTCGACGTATATTCTAAATTTCATTTCAAGCAACGTTGAGAACTCCCGAAAGTTGAGAGCCAGGAAAGTGGCATTTTTAGATACCTACGCGCGTACGGACGCCGCCGAGCGCCCGAAAAAGCTGGGCCCTAAGATGTAGGATGCCAGGCGCGGCCGCGCACGCCAAGAGACAGCGGAGAAATTACGGACGCCGCGCCGACGAGCGTCCTGACTCACCCACCCTGGTTTCCGAGAATTCCCGAGACGCCAAAATTTCATCCGAAATCCGCGACGCCAACCGTCGTCGATGACACTGCGATTGGAGAGCGCCCACTGCGTGATTTGAAAAGGCCATTCGCCGAAAACCGAGCGGGGGAGGACCAAGTTATCTTGCGACCCTAGGGAGGCCACTGCGGACACCACGCTCGATCATTCTGATGAAGGCAACGGGGGAGTAAAGTGGATCATTCCGATGAAGGCGACGGAGGAGTAAGGTTGATCATTCTGATGACGGCGACGGGGGAGTAAAGTTGGTCATT